AAGAGTGGGGGGTGACCTTGAGCCACACAAATGTGCAGATATAACAAATGCGCCCTGCTGCGGGCAATTTATTGCGGACGCGAATCGAAATCGCTAAGGTGTGGCTGGCTGCGTTGCACAGAGTAGGCCTGATATCGACGACACGATGTTCCTCCCTGAGATGAGTCGAATTCGAATGTGACTTTAACAGTTTACAATGTAGTTTAACAAGAGTTTTGTTTTCCTTTGCAGCTGAGAAGCAAACTAAACAGCCCATCTAATCGCGGGTCAATACTACAGCTTCCCTTCCACTACAAGATGAACAAAATGAAGTCTCCACAGCAGTTCTCCATATGCAACAAAACGTTTTCCGGCGCAGATGACCATGAGTATCATCTTCAGTCCCATACAAAAGAAGAGCCATTCGAGTGCACCGTGTGTCACAAAACTTTTTCTCAGGGTAGCAATCTAAGGAGACATCTGCGTACCCACACTGGAGAGAAGCCATTCGAGTGCACCGTGTGCCACAAAACTTTTTCTCGGGGTAGCAATCTAAGGCAACATCTTCGTACCCACACTGGCGAGAAGCCATTTGAGTGCACCGTGTGCCAAAAAATTTTTACAACAAGTTTCGAACTCCGGCAACATCTTCGTACCCACACTGGAGAGAAGCCATTTAAGTGCACCGTCTGCCAGAAAAGGTTTTCACAGTCTTCCGGTCTAAGCTCACATCTGCGTACCCACACAGGGGAGAAGCCATTTACGTGCACCGTGTGCCACAAAACGTTTTCTAGGGATAGCCATCGAATTAGACATATGCTTACCCACACTGGAGAGAAGCCATTTGAATGCACCGTGTGCCACAAAACGTTTACTCAGGATACCAATCTAAGGCAACATCTTCGTACCCACACTGGAGAGAAGCCATTTGAGTGCACCGTGTGCCACAAAAAGTTTGGAAGAAGCTCCGAACTCCGTGTTCATCTGCGTACCCACACTGGGGAGAAGCCATTCGAGTGCACTGTGTGTCGCAAAACTTTTTCTGGGGCTGGCAAACTAAGGATACATCTGCGTACCCACACTGGAGAAAAGCCGTTTGAGTGCCCCGTGTGTCACAAAAAGTTTGCAAGAAGTTCCGATCTGAATAGACATCTGCGTACCCACTTATCCAAGAAAGTGATGTAGCGATCCACGCGCCGAACCCAACATTAGTTAGCAATCTGCGGCGGTTTATGCGCACCTTGCACAGAGAAGGAAATTGCACACTCCATGTTAGAGTAAATGTGATGCACATGGTACTCGCCAACTTAACGCGTGTGTGTGATTCATTGTACTGATCTCTTTTAAGTCAGAGTTTAATAAAATAATTTTTTAGAATCAATGTATAACTCCACGCATTTTATCTGAGTTTCAACATTTCACTCATAATATGGACCGAACCCACTCTGCAAATCTACACTCCAACACTGGTGACTTCTGAGACGCTTCATCAATTTCAGTGACCTGAACGTGAGTACACGCATCTATACGCGCGCAGATGTGAGGCAACAGCAAGGAGCACACAAACGCATAGCACACGGCCGGTTCCGAGGATGGCTACTCGTGTGCTCTGGGGACGGGTTTGGGCGGGGTGCGGTGGGG